TMRWTWMMWATYYAWYCTAAGTAACTGACCAAAGCTAGAGCGTAGAGTGAAGTTCTGATACCCGTGAAACAAAACTTGACTATTAAAGTGTGGTAGTCAAATAGACACAAAAGAAAACAATGCAATTAGAGAGTACTAAGGTGTATTAGTGTAATATCTATTTCACGGGTTTTTAACTTAAATCTAAGCGAATTCCTTTGTATGTTTTTTTTTTTATCGCCTAAGCGACGCTATGTGGGGCATTTAGCACTATTTTTCGCGCTTTTAGAATTCATTAAAATTCTGCTTTCGTCTCAAAATCTCGAAGTTTACTGGAATTTGATGCTTTTTTGAGTTCGAATTTGATGCGAATTTGAGTTTTTTCTCATATATTTATGTGCCGGGATATTCATTTGAATTTGGAAATGGATGAAATAATAGGTCACTTCGACAATATGGCGGATATTTTGGCAGAGAGCTAATTCGGAAAGATGTTTAACGTGGATTTTAGAGGAATTCCTGTCATCATTATTCCACGACCTACATCGTTTTATTACTTCCCTGAATACTAATTCGAAGAAATAAGATTTCCAACTGATACGTTATCAATCAACTACTTGATATGCACTGTCTAATCGCGACACTGAATTAAGTTAATCTTTCTTCCGGYACTTAGATATTTTGTCTCTTTAAAGAGGTTCTGTCCACTTTTAATTTAATGCACTGGAAAAAATCGCGCGCTTTAAAGGTTGTAAATTTGGTGTAAATATGATGTGAGTGTCCAAAATTCTGTAAATTTGATGTAAATGATTTCCACTAAATTTACAGAATTTTGGACACTTACATCATATTTACATCAATTTACAACCTTTAAAGCGCGCGATTTTTTCCAGTGATGGTTATACGCCGAACCCAATGTTTGCCGTACAAAATTAAAATTTCTATTGTGCCGGTAAAAGTCATTGTTCTCAACTCTTTAACTTTAGGAGCGACACAGTTTTGCCGTACTTCACTATATTACACCTTTATATTATTACAACTTTGTTATTCTTACATAGAGGATATTACATGTGCGCGCGAAGATACGGAATTTATCTTTGAGTGTTGAAAAGATCTCTCACGAGTGAGCGTAGAGAAGAAGATAAAATTCGTATCTTCAAGCGACCATGTAATATTCTGTTTATCATATAATTGCATATGAACTTAAATTATGTCGTAAAATAGCTTTTTTTATTACTTCTACTATATAGAGAAACCTCGAATGTGTTATTTTTGGAAATAACGTGTTATTTTCACTAGTGAAAATATCAACTTTATGAAATGGAGAAATATAAGTATTTCATAGATAATTATATAATACAACCATATATTTATCATAAAAGGACATGYTCCACCAGCATTAAATTCTTCGGGCTTGTTTTAGATTTTTCATATATTGAAGCTGAGCTGAAATATCCATTCGCAATTCGTTTCCATACGTCAWTTCGTCGGTTTTAAGGTCGARTCTTACAAAATCTTCATTTGTATAGCAGAAAGGGATAATAAAGAGTAAGTTTTGTCTTAAATTACGATGTACTTTTATTTTAAAACATAAACAAAATCTAGAAAGGATTCGGTTGGATCGTGGTCCCTTAGTTTTTATCTTGAACTACCGCACTTGACACTGAAAACTTTGCCTTTCAAAGCTTGTTTATGAAAATACACAAGCAAAAGTGTCGACTTCAAACTTGACTATAAGATTGCTCATTATTGAGATTTTAATTTATTATAATCCATTACAGCTCTTCATTAATAACCAATTTTAAGTTGTTAGAAATTACACTTTAAAAGTGTGTTTTAAAATTTGGCAGTATAGCCTGGCTTATCCAATGTTTGGGCTGGTCACTAATTTCAATATGACGGGGCTCAAAGCTGATAGCCACGCGAACTCCTTCTTGATCTCTAAAAGACCTTTCAGGCCGCTACCACTTTAGTGATGGAATGTACCTGTCAGTTGGAAGAAGACGAAGACTTCGGTTGGTAMAATTATGTCTTTTTTAAATATAAAGCGATTTCAAATTTTGATGGTGKTAAGAATGTCAGTAAGGATTTTGAACCATAAATAAGTAAAGGCCATAATGTAGGTCGCTTGATCTTCACATATTGCARCAAATATCGTTGTATCCAAAAATAGGGATTTCAGAAAAGTCAAAAGCAAGCAATAGTTACATAGATATGTCACGTCTGAAAGAGATATAAAATCATCTAACTAAAGCAGCACATTACTTTGAATTCTATGAAGAATCTATTATTAAGTGGATACAGTCTTTCATTAAACTACAACAATCAGTTAAAGTCAAGTTGGACGGCGCAACTTTAGRCCTACAACCATCACATGTAGCATGYCTAAGTCATCCTTACAACTGCCGTAAAGCTATTATTAARCAAGTATTTTGAATGACTACAACGGTRGGTTACATCCGATGGCTGTAGGCAAAAGCTGTGTCATYTAATTCGGCCTTTAGAAAAGCTCCTTAAGTCAACACTCATAAAAAATCGGCGTTTTATCCTCTTTTGAAATGGTACTATATCTTTGATTTGAAACGATGAAACTTGAATGTTTTAATGATTTTATGGTGTATTTTGGTCTTTATCCACTTATTTGCTATGCATTTATTTCCCACAAAACGCCATTCAGTATAACGACAAATGTTTTGAAATCACTACACATAAACTTGATTTGTAAAAGTAAGAAAAATCTAGTAAAGGTATCTATTAAGCGATACCTGATTTCTATGTTTTTTTATCGTATATGCACGGTCAGCGGGCGAAACTAGCATCAGGTCGGCACTATGACGCATAAAAGAATAAAATCAAAACCAACTTCAAAAATGCAATGATTTCGGTTGGAATATTCTGAGCTCATGTTTGGCCATTTTTACTGGTTCCAAATACAATTTTCTTGATTTAAAAAGCTGTATGCTTTAGCTTACTGGATACTGTTCCTTGTACTCAGATATAAGTGACGAGGCTTTTGTATATAATCTAAACACTTACATTAATCTTTTACGAAGCCAGARACCTTAATTTAATTTAAAAAATGAAATCGTTTGAAAAAGATTTGCCGATAACAGCGCTATTTACTTAAGTATTTTTCCAAGTAAGGGGAAAAGGAAAAAGAATAAGAAACATTTCTTAGTTTATCATGTTTATTTTGAAAGTGTATATTTTTATTGCGTTTATTAGTAAGAGTTGGTTACCTCGCATGTGACGTAAACATGATTTTGAAAAATAAAGTAAGGAAAAGAAAGAAAAAAAACTATGATTGTTTTAGTGTAAGCGCATATCGATTTTCGTTTTAAAAGACTATCCCAATATATGAAAACAAACCAAAAATGTGAGGATATCCTAAATCTTGAAAACTCCGTGTTCAAATACACCTTTTCTGTTGCTCTTAGGCCTCGACAGCGTGTTAAATATTCTTTTGAATTTGTAGGAATGTGAGCAATGCAAACATTGATATGAATAGTCTCATTTGTCAAATYCAAAAGAATAATTAACTTGCTATCGAGGCCTAAGTGCAACAGAAAAGGTGTAGTGTCACTTCTTTAAGGGACATGGTCCACCAGCATTCAATGCATTTATGTTTTAGTTTTTTGATAAATGGAAAGTGAGATGACTTCAAATATCCATTCACAATCTGTTTCAATCCGTCGGTTTTAAGATCGAATCTTACAATATCTCCTTTCATATAGCATAAAGGGATAATAAAGAGTAAGTTTTGCTTAYATTGCAAAGTCTTTGTTTATTTTCAAATCCTGAACAAAAGCCCGAAAGGGATGCCGGTGRAACATGGCCCTTTAACACATTCATTGTTTATGTCCGCAGTCGTGGCATATCAGCTATGTCTCAAGATGGGAGAGATTCACGGCGAYGGAACGGAAGGCAACGTGTATATACAACTAGTCGGTTCAAAGGGCATGACAGAGAAGATCATGTTACGGCAAGATGGCAATAGCAAAATCAAGTTTGAGAAAGGAAGGACTTACAAGTTTACTATCGAAACCGTGGATATTGGACCTGTAAGTATTGAAATTTGTGGTTACTTTATAAAAAAAACTTCTGAAATTTGTAATATTACATCGTGGTATCTGTTTCTGAAGAAAACAAAGATATCCGCCATGCTTTGCTCCAAGTATATCCTACAATATTTCACATACTTTTTTACGGTGTTAAATTTATCTTTTTACAYAACTGTTTCTTTAGAAACACCGACGCAGCTCACACTAGTTTACCGCTAGTTCCCACCATATCCTACAATGCATTGCGTATCTCGGCGAAATGCATCATGGGATTGACGAGTGCAATTTCTAGTGACTACATTGTGGGATTGATGTATAAAATTTCTATTTGCATTTCCCTTTTATGGATTGACGAAAGTACAATAGCGGTAATGCATGTTGTGCATCGTTATTTTCGAGCAGGCAGCCATGTTCTTCTATAAGAAGATATAATCTCTACAGGGACTACTCAGCTTTTACCTACACACTTTATAAAGCGTGCGCCATCTCGCCAATTTTAAGAGTGCCATGATGCTTTTCGCCAAAATAGACTTGAGGTCACAAGTCCATTCAAGTTTCTAAGAGAAAGTCCTTCTTACAAAACTCTGTAACTTTGTTTCACAGATCGAGAAGGTACTCATCAGTCATGACGGTGAAAGTGGACGAGGGGGCTGGTACCTAGAGGAAGTGACAGTCGATGTGCCGTCACGTGACGAGCACGTGGTTTTCCCGTGCATGAGCTGGTTAGAYGCAGACGAAGGTGATGGGTTGACTGTCAGAGAATTGAACGCCAAACCAGGTAAATGTTTGTCTGTCTGTCTGACTGACTGTCAAACTGGATTTGTCCAACTTGTTTCGCAACATTGCTGCGCGTACTACTACCACGGACCAACTTGTCTCGCAGCAAAATAATTTTTTGCAGGTTGAAAACAAATGTTGCGGGAAGTAGAAGATCGTTCTACCTCTTTTCAACAAAATCCATCGATGTTACGCGTAATRCCACAACAACACAACTTGGCACGCATCAAAATAACGTCGCGAGACAATCAGCTGACTGCATTGGCCAATCAGAAGGATTCTCTCAACCTGCAACAAATTATTTTGCTGCGAGACAAGTTGGTTCAGCGGTAGTAATACTCGCAGCATGCCTATTGTTTGTTTTGCAGCAATGTTGCGAGACATTGTTGAACGATTTTGCTGCTCGTACCTTACCGTACCTTAAGTAGCTATTTAGTTCAGATTAGTTTCACTCTATTTAAGAACTCACACGTGTGCCTTCTCTCCTTTTTGACAGCGGTTTACCACCTTAARATAAAAACTGGGAACCAAAAGAATGCCGGGACAAATGCTAATGTTTGGACATGTATCCATGGTGACAAGGCCGACACTGGTAGAATCGATCTCAAGCGGTCAGGCATCATGGAATCAATATTTGAACCCGATCAAACCGACTACTTCACGATATCGGCCAACGACCTTGGAAGGGTAAACGATCATTTGTATTTTATACCTAAGATAAAACCTCTGTAAAGCGGACACATCGGACTATTTTATTATCTGCTCGTATTATGGGGTTCTGAGTCCGACCACTCTGATTATTGTAATATATCGACCCGCGACATAGGAATCATAGCGACCATTAGTTTAGACTAAAGTAGAGCCCCTTTAAAACGAACAGCCGGCAATATGTTATAGAAAAAAGATGGATTGATTTACGGATCGATCATGACACTTGCGCAAAARTGGCGTTTATAGGTGTCCTTGWGTGCATATATTTCTATATGAAGGTGYTTCCGTAAGAGAAAATACGGACACGTACGTTCACTAGCTGTTTGCGCTTTCCTTGGTTGTGACATTATAGCTACGGATACGTTCGTAAGTGTACCGTAAGAAGGTGCTTCCGTAAGTGAACAAACGGAAATGTACGTTCGCTAACTGTTTGCACTTTCCTTGATGGTGACATTATAATTACGGATACGTACGTAGGATTGCCTTTAAAAGGTGCGCAAAATTAATACACGGACGTTTTTTTCAAGGTACAAGCCGTAAGCGTTGGTCATGATGGTGACAACAAGCCTGGTACACGATGGTATCTTGAGGAAATGGTACTTAACAGTCCGCACAAAGGCGAACATTATATTTTCCCCTGTAAATCATGGATTCCTGARGCAGACGGCAGAAACGCTGAAGTAAACCTTGTTCCGCAACCACCACGTAAGTACAGCGGTGGATGAATTGAAACATCGTTAAAAATGTTTGATTGATCATTCAGTGGATTAATTCAAACCACTTGATTGATTTTGCCAAATTGGTTGATTGATTGCTTAACTGATTGAAGTATTGATTGATTTAATGATTGATTGATAGTTTAATTGATTGTTTGATTGGTTGATTGATTGATTACATGCTCAATCAACTAAGACACTGTTTACATGAAATAGGGTGCCCCTACGTGGTTGAGCTATCTCTTTTGTTTTCTTTTCCCTGGAGGATTGACAACAAAAGAGTTTGGCTCTACAACTAGGGCACCCTATCTCATGTAAAGATGATTAATATAGATTGGTTGATTAATTGTCTGATTACTTRGATTAAATGTTTTGATTGACAAACTGACTATAAACTGACTGCTTGATTAACTGATTGATTGATTKAATTAATTATTGTTTGCTTGCTTGCTTTTTTTGCTTGCTCAATAAAGTGAAATAGATTGGTTGATAAATTTTCCTATTTCTTGAATTATTGATTGATTAACCGATCGATGGATTGATTGATTAATTGATTAATTAAGTGAGTATTAGGGTTTTTTTTATAATAAACAATTAATAAAGAGCTTTATTCACAAATAATTTCACAATTAATAATAATTATATAAAAATTCTAAAAATTACAATATAGAAAAAAGTTAAAAAAATTACTAAAATATTRAAYTTTACAATAATAATGATAACGATTAAAATTTRTAAATATAACTATGCATTAATTRATTAGTAAAAAGAATGAAACTTACATTAAATAATTTACTAAAGAAACGTCCTATTATTTACAAAAAAAAAGTGAGTATTWGGTTGATTGACTCGTTATTCCCATTTTATTATTTTCATCTCTAGTCCAAAACTACAGTATCATGCTGAAAACTGGAAAYCGTAAGAACGCAGGCACCGACTCCAATGTATACTTTCAAATCTTTGGYGATCGCGGAGACACTGGAGTTGTGGAACTCAAGCAAGTCTGTGAACCTACTGGTATGCTTCAGAAGGGGACAACCTTCCAGTTCCCTCTGCAAACTACTGAACTAGGAAACGTAAGTCCGATAAGAAAWCGTCTAAGCATATACACCTAATTGAAAAACCGTAGTCGTGTTCGAAAAGGTCACATCATTGAAGCTAAGACCGAAAGGGATTTTGAGTACCACTAAATTGAGATTACATTTGTATATACGGTGTACCGTAAAGCAGGTAGAGCTAGTAAGATTAACAGCATGCTAGTCTTTTATGCTGAAGAGCTGTTTGTATGAAATTAGCCAAATTGTTTGTCTTCCCAAGTACCCTTTCGGTCTTAGCTTCTATGATTTGACCTTTTTGGACCCGACAACGTTTCTTCAATTAGGTGTATATAGACGTAACTGGAAWTGTAGAGAATATTATATCGGCGCAAGTATTTTATATTGCGAGATCTCGCGCGAGACGTGACGTATGAACAGCGAAAGTTATCTTTAATAGCGAGTTTGTTTACCACGTACATACAGTCAACTCTCGCCTTACGGACACCCCGCTGTAACGGGCACCTCGATATTGCGGACAGTAAAATACTGAATCCCTTATGATAAATACAAAGAAATGACTGAAAGTAACTCTCCTTACTACGGACTTTCGCTACTGCGGACACTAAATTACGGTCCCGAGGGTGTCCGTAATAGCGAGAGTTGACTGTAAACAGCGCCGTGCGTGGGATTGGTTTCCTCGATTTGATATTCAAAAGATAGTGAGGAAAATAGGAATTTTTTTTGAACAATTATCGATTCTGTCACCTTTTTTCTTCAGCTTGAAAAAATAAGAATCGGTCATGACGGCCAGGGACTGGGTACGGGCTGGTTCTTGGAAGAAGTAGTTGTCATGGTTCACGATGAATGCTGGGTATTTCCATGTAACCGCTGGCTAGCAGATTACGAGGACGATGGCATGACGGAGAGGGACTTATACCCAGGTAAGCGCTTGTATCCTTCAAATATCCATTCGCAATTCGTTTTCATCCGTCGATTTGAACGTCGAATCTTATAATATCTCCATTAAAAAAATCTTGTCTGTTTAGTGAAAGCAATTTGTCCAATTTTGAATTTTCTTACTGCCATTCTTTACCCCTAGCCTTTTTCAACAATAAACATCATCGTCAATACAATCAAATGTGTGAACTTGACGTATTATTTGATACCGTGAATTCTTAATGAAATTCTGTTTGTTTGTTTTTTAGAGAGAAAAACGTACGCTCATGAACCTGACTTGCAGGATCTTATCGAATACCTACAGACAGATGATGTAAACTTAATTGTCAACTCTGCCTTCTACCTACAACATCTTTGTTACAACGATGATGCCGTGAAAGCAAAAATAAGGTAGGAATTACAGCCCCGAGTGGGGAGGGGAGGGTACAAATTACAGACAGATGATGTAAACTTAATTGTCAACTCTGCCTTCTACCTACAACATCTTTGTTACAACGATGATGCCGTGAAAGCAAAAATAAGGTAGGAATTACAGCCCCGAGTGGGGAGGGGAGGGTACAAATTACAGTCCCGAGTGTGGAGGGGAGGGTACAAATTACAGTCCCGAGTGTGGAAGGAAAGGTGCAAATTATAGCCCCGGTCGGGGGATGGGAAGGTACACTGGGTGACAGTCCCGAGTGGAGAGGGAAAGGTACAAATTACTGTCACGGTGGGGGGAGGGGAAGGTACAAATTACTGTCCCGGGAGATGGTTAAAGTACAAATCACACCCCCAAACCCGTAGGGCAATTAATTTATTTTAATCTGTAACTKTGTAGAGAGCTTGGTGGGATCCCTGTGTTAGTGCGGCTTCTTGATCACGAGGTCTACAATGTCCACCGGGCAGCGGCTTCCTGTTTACGAAACGTTTCGTACAGCAAAGAAAGAGATGAAAATAAGGTACTACTTGATCTTTTACTATTCTAGTGTTGTCATTGCATAGCGTACAAATCAGTAGCGTTATGAACAAGGGCGAGAACCTCAAATAAAGAGCTTTATGACCAAGGGCTTATCGAGGACMTCAAATCAAGAGCCTTATGAAAAGGACCTACCATGAACCTTAGGGACAAAGACAGGAAGACCAGTCAGACATACTCGAGATAAATAGCTTATTTAAAAGGGACATGGTCCACCAGCATCCCTTTCGAGCTTTTGTTTATGTTTGAAAATAGAAATACATCGTAATATAAGCAAAAACTTACTCTTTATTATTCCTTTATCCTATATGAATGGAGATGCTTTAAGATTCGACCGTTAAACCGATGGATGGCAACGGATTGCAAATGGATATTCGAAGTCACCTCATTTTCCATATATGAAAAATCTAAACCACGACCGCATTGCATGCTAGTAGACCATGTCCCTTTAAAAAAATGCTTCGATGTCAAAGGGCTGAATTACTGGCATATATTTGCATGGTTTAAGAAATATGTTCAAACTACAATAAAGGAAAGAAAAAAATTTGCGTAATTCCAGGCGTAGATTAGTATTTTAATTTGCATTATTTCAGTGGTCTTTTGATCAGTTTCTTATGTATTTATTTTTTCACCTTGACGAAGTATCTAAAAACCTTTTCCCCGTTCACTCTCCCACTTCCACTTGTCTGTCTGTCTGTCTGCTTACTCGCATGAAAAGAGCTCTCCAGTTCCCTTCAGCTAACATTTGTTCTACTTTCCTTTCTTCAGCTGATCATCGCCGAGTGTAACGGGATAGAAGCTTTGATAAGATTACTGCAGAGAACTCCAAAAGACGAGGTACTGAACTGTCAATCAAAATACCGCAGGCAGTTAGTAGAGAGTTTTAGATTCACGTTTACTGTAAACGCCAAACGTCTAATTGGCTTTTATGTTTTGAACACGTAAAAACGCTTCGAAAGGAATAGTCATGCGCTTAGGCACAATCGCGAAAGAACGGAGCGTTAATACAGAAAAACAGTGATCACGTGATCAGTTTTGGCGTTTGATGTTCGCCGTAAACACATATCTAAAACTCTCTTGTAACAGTTTTTAAATATTCTTAAAAGAATGTTTTCTATCACTTTTGGAGGGGGGGGGGGAGTGGAGGGGAGCTAACTTTGTCTAGTGTATATCGTAAGACACCCTTCAAAGTGTGTTCGTTTCCTGTTATGAACAGACCAATAGTTCACTGTCATTGATATGTCAAAAAAACACTAATACGTTTAGGCAGTATGCGAACTTGTATTGACTGTATTGATCTACATTCCGAATTAATATCGATTAGAGTGGTCTTCGTATTCTCGCAAGGCGTGAGATAGTCGTCTATCATTCGGCCAGGACGACCGTTCGGGTGCCCATCGTGCCTTCCAAAGAACGAGAGGTATTGTCACGCAACACGTCTGTTGTCACGCAATACAACTGATGTTACGCAGTACAAGCTGTCACGCAATACTTTTCTCATTCAAGAATTCGTCAAATGTCATTTAGAAATTGTCACTTTGAGGTTTAATATGAGACACAAGTATCACTACATCCATATTTGAAGAAAATAAACAAATTTGGTGTTTTTTGTTTTTGTTTTTTTGTTTGCTTTTTTGATTTGATTAATCCAAACGTGTACTAATATCGATTCGCACCCAAATCTATTCACGACTCTCAAAAATTGCGCAATATATAACGGTAGACGACCGGGTTACTGAGGACGAAGCACTAAAACGAGTCCTCCATATAGTAAACTTAGCTTAGATAGTGGTTTCTTGTAAGAGTAAATAAATAACATACAAATAATCGTAAATAACATACAAATACATCTTTTAAACTTTGACACTACCAGATATTGTGATCTTCGTGTTTTGTTGTTTTGATGTAAGGTCTTGGAGGCTTCATTTCCATGATTCGTCACAAGTCCCCTTATATTTGCGCCATTTTTGAAAGTCATGCATAGATTACATTGCTATAGAGAAGGCTGTTATTGATGCTATATTATGTATCATTTCGTAGGTCAAAGAATTAGTCCTTGGTGTTCTATGGAATTTAAGCTCATGTGATGTAAGTTTATYCAAAAACAGTGGTTGCAATCTTCCCTGTACGGTTCCCTGCGCCATTTTGAAACCCGATACTTTACTTGACAACAGATTTTCTTGCGCAAAGACCTGACCAAACTCAAAAGAGAGCACGAGAAAATGTCCTTATTACAAAAGCCTTGAAAATGTCGTACCTSACCCTTTTCCCCGAGTTGAGACTAACCCTGTATTCCATAAAACCTAAGATATGAGCATTCTGGGAATACAAACGCGGCGAAAATGTAAATTGTCAGCTCTATTGTTCTAACAACATTTTCTCGAACTTACTTTTGTGTTTGGTAAGATCTTTGCATAAGAAAAAAAATAAAACAGCGGTTATTTGCTTTGAATTTGAAAATGGAGTATTGTGGTTGAGTTTTGCACAATGTCTGATAATTTTTTTTTCTTTCTCCAGATACTCAAGATTCGAATCATTCAATTTTGTCTAGTAATCCTAGTTAGATTAATTATAATRCCATATTCTGGATGGGACAAGGACATTTTTMGAAGTGGCAAGCCAATCCCCTCTGTAAAATGGACCACTGTKTTTCGAAACGCAAGTGGTATTCTTAGGAACCTTTCKTCTGCGGGCGTCGACGCGCGTACTGAAATGCGTGCCTGTGAGGGACTTGTGGACTCATTGGTGTGGATTGTTTATGCTCCTATTGGGAAATCGGACGTGGACAATAAGGTGCCTTTAATAAAAGCATTGTTAAAAGTCATTCTTTTTAAAGTGCCTATGATTCCTGACACAATAATCTCTGATTCTCTGAGAACCAATTCTATATAAGTAAATAATTAAAAGCTGAAATATTCCAGTATTTCAGTGTTGCGTCTTTGAGTTATGCTTTTATAAAGATGCGGTCACGGCCATAATTTTCATTTTGTTTTTCGTATAAATTGTTAATGAATTTGATTTAAGTTTTAATTTAAGTTTGATTTAAGTTTTAATTTAAGTTTTAATAAATGTATTCTTGATTTCTACTCTTTAGTCTGTCGAAAATTCAGTTTGTACGCTACGAAACCTTTCCTACCGATTAGAAGACGAAGTGGACMGAGCAAAATACGAAGACGAAGAASCCCCCGACGCACTCCCGACGGATAYCGACGACAAGAAACCACCGGCTAAGGCWCCTGGATGTATGGCCGCATGCGGTGGAACGAAAAAGAGCAAACCTCCGAAAGAGCCCGAAATAAAACGACCTCCTGCCGAGGGTGTGGCGTTGCTATGGCAACCCGAAATAGTAAAACCATATCTGTCAATMATGGCAGAGTCGTCCAATCCGGATACCCTTGAAGGAGTAGCTGGTGCATTACATAACTTAATGGCCTGTAACTGGAAGGTATTTTGAAAAACATATCTCCCACACAACCGAACTCTCTTCCCTGTTAAGGCCCGTTTACACTTGCGATGTTTGCGGAGCGATTCTCGTGGCAATCTTCGTGCGACCATCGCCTGAGTTTCGAACTTGCTTGAAAATTGTCTGCAACTTCAAGGCGATTTTTCATCACCGCAACAATCTCAGGACTGTTTACACGTATAATTTTAGTTGCGCGATAGCAAAGTGGCGATTATCGCGGTGCAAAAATTTGCAATTGTAAACGCGCCTTTAGYCTCACAAAAATGAAAAGAAAGAAGCAACAAGCAAAAGCTCAAACAATTCRAAGCACCTGCGCTTGTTTTGCGAACGGCATCTTTTAGAAGATTAATCCTCTGATCCTTGTTCCCGAATGGTCTCTACGTTTTCTCTCCTTGTGGAGACGATAAAGAGAGCTCTTAGTAGAGTAATCACTTAGTTCCTGTATGCTGTCAGCACCTTACGACGAACTATTTTTCTTTGCAGTGGGCTGTTCTTATAAGGTCAGCTGTCAGGAAAGAAAAGGGATTACCAATAATGGTCGAATTACTTAGAATGGAACATGATCCGGTCATACGAGCAGTTGCYACATGTTTAAGGAACCTAGCAATTGATCCACGAAATAAAGAATTAATAGGTACTGATTTTACATCTCCATTTTATCTTAAATTGAAAATTTGTGCAAATCTTGTGCAGTGTTTTTTCGTAGTAGARCAAACGCAGGAAAACCATGAAATAAAATCAAACTARATACTAACAAATAGCTGCTATTTAGAGACAATTTGTCAGTATCAATGAACCAGAACACAATGAAGATGAATCCACATGAGACTATTTTTAATTCTTCTTTATTGCGTTCTGGTTYATTGAKACTGAYAAATTGTCTCTAAATAGCCKCTATTTGTTAGTATTTAGTTTGATTTTGTTTCATGGTTTTCCTGCGTTTGCTCTRTGTCYTMTTATTGACAATCTTGATGTTCGAATCKTTGAAAATTCCTTGGCGTGAAGAGTGTCATCATTTATTTGCTAAACAGGTAAATACGCAATGAAAGATTTAGTACGTCAGTTACCAGACCCCAAGGATCAAGAAGAAGGCCAGGTAGATATGCCATCTATAGGACCTCTGCTTTGTGCKATACATCAAGCTGTCAACAAAAGCCTTCAAAATGGAAAGTAAGTCGTTGGGCAATCGTACTATCGTGAATGCTAATACCCTGCGAGCAGAGTGTATTTCCTTACCTCAATAAAAATTCGCTTCCTTCGCGAATTTTTATTGAGGTAAGAAAATACACTCTGCTCGCAGGGTAGCTAATACTCCTTTTCCGTTTTGAAAACGAATAACCGCTGTTTTATTTGACAGCAGATTCTCTTGCTCAAAGGCCGTACCGAAAACAAAAGAAAGCACGAGAAAATCTTGTAAGTGCAATAGCCCTAACAATTTAAATTTTCCAGGAGTTGAGGCGAACCCWTTATTCCCAGAAGGCTATTAAAACCCTAGACCTTCTGGGAATACAGGGTTAGTCTCAATTTGGAAAAAAAAAATGTAAATTTTAAAGGCTATTGTAATATTAAACGTCATTTTTTCGCGCTTTTGTGTTTTTTAAGGTCTTTACGCAGGAGAATCTGTTGTCTAATAAAACAGTGGTTATTCGCTTTGATTTCGAATATGGACCACTGATTTTATTGTTTCATCCCGAACAAACTTTTGGACCTTAAGTGTGTTGCCCTTTGTATTTGTCAATTAATATCCCAAGTTCAGGAAGGAGAAGTTGCGGAAACCCTGCCTGTAACCCCTCTCTGCACGCCCCTGATAGAGTCTTCTATAGGGTCGAAAAACTATTGGTTCGATTAGGATTTTTTGTTTTGCTTGCTGTCATCTTGTGAGGTGAGATGTAGTATAATTGTTGAATGTAGGGTTTATCTTTAACCTTCAGGTACTGCAGAGATAAAGATGGTTTTAGAAAAATCGTTGCTATCGCCAAGAGCGAAAACAAGTACTCCCCCAAGATTGTGAAGACTGCCAACCAGGTAGAACTTGCATGCCAAGATATAAATAAATAAATTAGATATACAGTMAACTCTCGCCTTACGRACAYCCCGCTACAACGGACACCTCGATATTGCGGATAGTAAAATACTGAAGATCCCTTATGATAAATACAAAGAAATGACTGAAACTAACTCTCCTTACGCTGGGTGTCCGTAATAGCGARAGTTGACTATATTGATCAATTGCCCTWTTTCATTATGACGTCACAGTATGTTTACATCGGAAAACGATGCTCAAAAACAGYRGAAATTYGGAYYCATTTATATTGTCTMCTAAAGTAGAACTTMAATGAATCGTGTTTTGATATATATCATGTAKAAATAATTTCTAATGTACATTTTATTTGATATGCARTCAYTCTGWTCCCTTCTGGCGACCATAATCCTTAGCGTTAAAACAATAGAATGTTTTGATGTGACGTCATAATGAACTAGGGCAATTAATAATGGAATTGATAAAGTTGATTAATGATGAATTTACAAAATTAATTCTTCGAAGATTTCAGGATATTTTACTTTACACAGACATACATTCCATTCCTTCTCGTTCCCAGGTTCTTATGACTCTCTGGCAATTCAAAGCGCTTAAAACCTCGTTGGAGAAAGAGGGATGGGARCTAACAAAGGAAGTTACAGACAAATACGGACCRCCGGCKGCCGCTGGTCCTCGAGCCTTCGACGAAGTCTCGCTACCAAGAGGCTCAATGCGGAACAAAAACCGAATACCCGACACCGTCCGATCCGACGAGTCWTCGATTCCCGATCCACAAATATTCGAGGCTTCGCCCTCGCAGCTAATTACTGAAGACGGCTACGAAGCTGATGACGACAAAAAACAAGCCAAACCCGAGACTCGAGGCTCGCACGATGAAATAGAGATGCGCGAATTGAACGGAAGTCGATCTCCGCCTGCGTATGAGAGTGACCCTCCACGWGAAGAGCCTCAGTATGCCCAGGTTGATAACAGCAAAAAGAMGAAAAAGGTTAAAGGAGCGGTAAACAGTGATTCGTGGGTGTAGGGGCAGACGCTAGAATAGGTACCGTTTTTGGTATTTACAAGATGTCTCAGACGTCGTGTTTTTAATGCGTCGAATAGATCCCTTTGGTATCGTAACATGAGAAACTCGACGTTGAAAAATTGCGACTTAATAGCCGACGAGAAAGCGCGATTTTAGTGCGTCAAATAGAGCCCATCATTGACTTCGTAAAGTGAAAAATTCGACGTCGAAAAATGACTTTATTTGTCGATATCGAGCGTGCTTCGAATGCCTTAACAAAAACCTATGACTCCGCAACTTGCCAATCTCAAGTTTTCCGCGTTTTGTCCGTGTGTACGAATTGGTCAATGGGCTTCATTAGAAAGAATAAGTTAATAGTGAATGGAAAAGAATTATAAAATATATATAGATATTATTACAAACCTTTATTTTTGTTTAAGAATCGAATGAGAATCTTGTGACAGAGATTGCAKTACTAAAACTAATGTCAAATGCGTATGTGGAGGCTAGAAAAACAATGTAATTTTTCCGATTTATCCTTTAAAAATGTTTGGAGCGATTCTGTCTGGTCGCTGTTTTTTTGATTCACATCTTAAAAAGATCAACCTTGTTTTTAAATTATTCTGCGAATGGTCGAGCCACTTGTATCTTTAGGGTTAGGTTGTACCAGCGAAGTAAGAGAAAAGGTAGCGATGAAGCAAGCAGACGGAAAGCATTGCTTCTCTCCGTTTGTTGGCCATCACACAAGTAAGCACTTTTCTTGTCAATCTCCGTTTTTATCTCAAAGTCTGCCTCGTAAAACCTCAACTTGATCCGTTAATTCCTTGTAAATAACCATAACTTTGGGTTTAAACTGAATAGAAAATCATCTTTCCGCTTCAAAATAAATCCCTTTTTTTCAAATTCGATATTTTAAGTAAATCAAGCTTGACCTTTTACACAAAATGTTTCCTGGTTTCCTTTTTCCTTCCTCTATTTTCCGTCTTGTTTTTTTTTTTTTTTTCTTCTGTTGTCGTTTAAATTAAGAAAGTGTGTCAGATGACGCGCCTGCTCTTACTTTTGGGGTTAAGACCGCTGGCTAGGCGTAACGAAGATACATAACTGAGATAATTATATGAAACGTGCGCACCGGCCAAGCCCATCGTCTTAGTAAGTTCAGTCAAATTARATGTATAGCTAATTCATTTTCTAATTTTTCATAATAAAACGTTTGCATAAAACATTTTAAATAGTAATATTAAAGATAATTTTCAAAGATATTGTGTATTTCTTTGTGACTCTAATGTGGGAATGTCAAGTGAGTCTTAGGCTTTTTTTAAATGTGTATACATGGTTTGCTCTTCCTTTAGAACTAGAGGTCATGAAATAAGTCTGTAATACATTCAACCCAATTAACGTTGTTCAGTGGTAATGACCTACGGCGACAACAACAAATCCCTTTGCATTTATATCATAGCCACCATGGTACGCGCTCTCTGATTGGTCAAATGTTATTGTTTATTTCACCGGTAAAAGCACGGATGCCGGGCACGGATGCGAAAGTACTATCATATAAAAGCAATAAGCAACACATTTTCGTGCGTTCCTGGTGAAATAAACACTTGGGATATAGGGAAAAAACTCTCCCTCCCCTCCCTCTCTCATAGTAGATTTGTATAAACATCTTTGATGCCACGTTAGGGCAATACCCGAACCGTACCTTAAAGTGGCTTTTAATTTTAATAGTCTCCTTCACGCTTACGTGCGCCATCTTGAAAGGTAGCCGTGCCTTTGCATTGAAGAGAGACAACCGTTGAGCGTACAATGATAGATACCTGTGAATAATTGTCTGCAGGTGTGAAAGAAGGTTTCTATCATTGCACGCTCAACGGTCGTCTCGCTTCGATGCAAAGGCACGGCTTAATTTCAAGATGGCGCAGGGAACCGTGAAGAAGACTATTCACCTCGCTTTCGATCCTCGATAGATCACGTGCTGTCATATTCCCAAGGAAACCCAAAGGGGATGCATGCAATGGAATTCAAGATGGCGGGCAAAACTAAAATGACGAGCGTTTTTTACCTCACCTCTTTTAATTCAATTCATAGTCTTTTTATGAATAAAGGACCCTTTACTAAAGCTCAGACATCCTTTATTATCCAATATTTCCAGATTAATATGGTGAAGCTCCCAGTGCTACTGAAGACTAAAACTAACCGTTTACTTTCACCAAATAAGACACTAGTTATCAAGTAACTCTTTTTCAGAAAGTGTAAATTGCTCAAAGATGGTGCATGTAGGCAAGCGCTCTCGCATTTCACTAAGCTGTATTGATAAGTAGAAATTTCAAAATCGGTTTTTCTTCCTTGGAGCATGTTTAAGGCGATGTCACGTTTGGTAAAAAACCGGTGGCTCACTGAAATCCTAGCCTCCTCCCCAGGCAACTCTTTGTTCCTTCTTTGGGCTTCCTTTGTAACGGTCATTTTGGCCGCTAGAGACTAGTGACGACTCCTCACTCTCGTCGCCCCCATTTTCCCTTTTTTGACTCCCACAAAAGACAGGATGCCTGTGGAGGAGGCTAACTGTATCCTATAAGAATGGTGACCAGTGGGATGTCCAACAGACTAGCGCTGGGACAGGACGCCTGCATGAGACCGCGTGGCTCGAAATTCGGTACGTTTAATCGTAACGAAACCGCGCGGTTATTTTTTTGGGGAGACTTGTAATGAGTCCCCCATCTAAAAATAGTGGTCGAAGCGCAGTCAAGTATCTACTATTAAGAAAAGAGTATTAATTATTACAGCGATATGGTACTGGAACATTAGTACCTATATGACCTTATCGTCTTGACAGATACTAGCTTAGACAATCGTGCTACCAACCATGGCAACGCCCAATTTTCTGCATCATTGGATAGTACATTCCCCTTCTAATTTCCAGACACCATTCCCCTAAGGTCTTTACCTAGAACTAGTCATCTAGCCAGATAACAATTATATCATGGTTGACATAAATGATTTTTTTAGTCATGAATATTTTTCACGCTCAATGCACAAATATCCGAGCGTGAACCAAGGGTAATTTCCTCGTGCTCTGTAAGCCTGAATCTGTACCGAGTTATTATTTCGCTTATCAGTAAACATCGAATAGATGGTTTGCTGATCAGTGTTCATCAATCCCTCCTTTAATAAAGAGTGGACTTGACGTTTGTATTGATCCACCCAACGCAACATCACATCACCTCGCCCAACAAAAAATGCACCGCTCACCCAAACAATATTCTTGAGAACAATATTCCTTGGTGTTTGTTTTGGGTCAAAGGAAAACATCTCTGTATATGCTATTCGACTTGGGTCAAAACCTGGAGGCCTCACAAGATAGAAAGGTTTGTCATCCACTCGTCTGTCCCTAAAGCATCCCACATCCAGCCAAATGAAATATTTCGTTTTGAAGAAGTTGTTCCTTACTGCGTGACTCATAACTTCGAACTTTGCATGCATAGCACAGGAGTATTCCGGTAATACAGTGTTGGGGTGATGCTTAGGATAATTGGGATTAGCATATATTTTACTTATGTTTTCCTGCAGTCCAAATGCCCATAAATCACCTCGATTGACTTCAACAAATTGGGTTAAGCTTCCCAATGAGCCTGAACGTATCGTTTTGAGATAATTCTTCGTCTCATTGTTTTCCAAATATATTACCATAGAGTTTTGAACCTGCGCTAAACGCTTCATCCAGTCTTTGTACTTGTTCTCGCCTCTTTTCTCAGCACTACCTTTTTGGAATGTGCCAAGGTTGAAGTAGGCTGAGACCACAGTTATGTTGTCAGACGATGTCGAGTTTTCACTGGACCAGTTGGAGTCGCTCACGGCTGACGTAAAATGTGGTAGTGGCGAAGCAATTGGTAATAATGTAGGCTGCAATTGTAAAAAGACTTCGCATCAAGAAAGGTCAAGTCCATTATAACTATAATGGAAATCCTAGTAATTTAATATCGTAATAAAGACAGAAGATCTGTTATACAGAGGATATTGCATGGGCGCGCGGAGATACGGATTCTATCTTCGAGTGTGGAAAAGATCTGATCTCTCTCTGTGCAGATTTTTTTCTTGTGATTACTTTTCTTCTAATATTATATTATCATTTTTGAAGATATATATTTGAGGAACCCTATGTCGGTCCATGCAAAATTTGCTCGATGGATATACCATGCGTTCTTAGCTATGGTGCTCCGAATGTCAGCGGGGGAGCTCCGCTATAACTGATATCGATGTACATGTTTCGTTAGATAATGGTTCTCGTGTCTTCATACAAATATACTGCTGGTCCCATTAGCTGTGCTTTATTATTTATATCTCATGAATTATGAATTATTAAAGCTTCCCTTTCGAGCTTTTGCTCCTTGTTTGAAAAATTTAGCAAAAACTTTCTCTTCGTTATCTCTTTATTCCATATAAATGGAAATGTTGTAAAATTCGATCTTTAAACCGATAGATGGAAACGGATTGCGAATGGATATTCAAAGTCGACTTATTTTCCACGTATCAAAAGTCTAAAACACGGCCGCATTGAATGCTGGTGGACAATAAATTTATTAAAGAATTGTGCTTCAAATTTCAGTATTCATTTTCGCTTTGTTCGGTTTTTTGTTTTGTTTTTGCTTTTGTATCTGTTATTTTTTTCTTTTGTTTTCGTTTAATTTTCTTCTCACCTTTGTAGCCAGCTGGATCGTTTTAAAAGTTAATCCAACATCAATTTCTTCACTAACCTGTTATATAAATGGAATATGATATTGAATTAGCGACTATTATATAGCGTACTAATAAAGCGGCCTGATGGGATGTCAGGCGTTCTTTAACTTTTCTTTTTTTACTGTTCATTTTTTAAAATTGTGTCCTGGATCGTGAGTGGCGACTTTTCATTTTCTTTTTGGCCACGAGATCATTGGACTTTTAAAATGAAGCGAGCACGTTATTTCTCTTGATTTTTATGCCAAACAAATTGTGGGAAAAAGCATTCACTTTCTATGTCATGTAAAAATTATATGTAGATTTATAGGATATTTATGTTTCCCATAGTTTGAACATTTGGTTGCCATCTTCCATAAGATCTCTATTAATCTAGATTGCCATAGTTCTTTTACTGGTCTTTGAATGGATGACTTTGTTGTATACTGGCATCGGGTCTCCAACGAAAAAAAGACAAATTTCTAACAATCAAGTTGGATCGAGTGACCACAACATGGACCCTGAACAGGAAAAAATATTATTCTGGCCTAGAGTTAAAACAATGGCTCGATCGAAGCATTATAAATCGCTTGTGATTTTTCGTTGTTCTTGTCGCTAAATTTTCATTTAAACATAGTTTGTAGATGGAAATGGTTAGGAAGCATTTTGTTGTAGGTTTTTGTGTACTTTTTTCAAAGCGTGACAGTACACAATCTTTTAAGTATTGTTTTAGCCATACTGGTCACATCTGAATGAACAGAGCGAATATTATTCTTTTGACTATTTCTTCAAAATTCACAACAATTTTTAACCAATATTGAAATATTTCATTTCATAATCTCATAGAGGGTGTTTATGTTTAGTCATTTTGCAATTTCCATCGTCCGTAAGAAAAAACTTGTGCACGGTCTTGACTGATTCAACCTCAAAATACGTACAAAAGATGTACAAAAGAAGTACAACAAAAGGTTTCAAAACCATTTCCATCTATTAACCGTGGACCAGGCAGATCGTGATAAAATGGACTGCAGGCCAATAACCAATCTTAGCGAACAATTCAAAAAAATTAGTTCTACCCGAAGAGGTACTTACCTTTTGTGGTATTTGAACTACATGATGGCTGACATATACCATGAATAGAGTAAAAAATATACAAGAGCTTAAAAATCTAAGCCTCTTGCCCTGGCGATATAGACCATGCCTATGAAGGTTTGCCGACGATCTGAATAACTTCGAACGAAAACTTTGAACTAGAAGCACATTTTTGCTTCTTCATAAAGGATTTGGATAGACATATTTGATGCCACGTTAGGGCAATACTCCCGAACCGTCCTAATTGATGTGGACTTTTTCACCTCGTTTTCAATCCTCGATAGATCACGTGCTACTAGATTACCAAGGAAACCCAAAGGGGGTGAATGCTTATCAGACACTAGGTTAGACAATCGTGCTACCAATCATGGCAACGCCCAATTTGCTGGTGGAAAAATCATTATTGTTTGCAACAATCCAAACATATGAAATGTCTTATGCCATTTTGCTCGTTCTTATGATTGGCTCTGTTGTTTATTGAATCGATTGTTAATTTTTATCAAGAAAAATTTTTTTTGAAAATAATAGTGTGGCCTGGATTAAACGCACTAAATGGTCGCTGCTTATTAGGCGAAAAATTTAATCTAATGCAAAATGACATCTCTGAAAAGATCAAAAGTAAATGCTTCACCAAGAATCTGGCTTAAACAACCTAAATTCTAGTTCTTGTAAGGGAAATTCCGGAAAAGTGTATGTCTTGTCATAAGCTATTTAACAATTCGCAGGCGGTTTTCTTACTCTTATTGACAATGAAATTGACGTCAAAATGCTCAAAACTCAAGTGGTTTCACTGCAAAGTTTTGAGCATTTTTGACGTCAATTTCATTGTCAATAAGAGTACAGACAATGGAAAACCGCCTGCGAATTGTTTTTTACCATAAAAAAGCTGAAAACAAAGTAAAACTTTAAAAACAAAACCGTTTCTAGCGCGCGCCGGCTCCGTGCGCGAGCGATTCGTCATTTCATCCGTCTGTCCTAGGATTGACAACGGCCCTCGACCAATCAGCGCGCGAGAATTATACAAGTTATGGTAAAAACTCCACTATATCCCAAAACGTCAACTTTCAGCTACTATAGAAAGCGTGAACGGCGGCCATTTTTTTTTTTTTTTTTTTCAAAGGATCTATTAATGTATACCAAATKATCACCATTCAATACGTTTTACTTTATGATTAGAGACTTTATTAGTCTTCAATTTATTAGATACATAATTTGTCATTGATGGTATACACAACAATGACTCATTTAATTTTGGATAATGGTTCCTTTAGCTTCATTGACTATTCATCTTTCTATTTGTTGATCTGACAGTACAATCCACCATGATAGGCGGTTGTGTCCCGAGGACAGGGGCCGCAACTCAGGTCATCCAACGACAACCTGTAATATTGACCCTTGCAGCAGCCATCTTTGGACATAACCACACCTGAACTAGGAGCMGGCTTTGGGACTTTACTCCTCTTGGCCCCGGACGGTGGCATCTTCAAGATAACCTTGGCTCTTATGAGCAATAAGCTGCCTGGRTTCGGTGCATCGTATTTCACATCATTTCCACCTTTAGTTATCTTCGCTTTTAGACTAAAAGTAGACAAGATTGTTGGGAGAAGGCTTTTGGGGGTCGAAACACGCTGTGTTAAATCACAAATTTTCGGAAGGTTCTTGCAAAGGCTGTAAGGGTTGGTAATCTCCTTTGAGCAGCTGCTGTAGGCGCCTTCTTTGTAGATTGTCAGGTACTCRTTTTGYGGATCAGGTAATAGGTAAACCACACCTGTGGTGGGATTTATGGTTGTAACAGAGCTTCCAGCCACAGAAGTGAGAGTTATCTGTGTGGTTAAGACTATATTTTTGTCGTAAACTTTGTGAGGGAGAAAAAGCTTCATGCTTTTGATGAATGGAATTACTGTTTCACCAGGTAAAAGCCATTGGTACTTTTGAAGCCATGCTTGATCAACTGGGATCTTAAATAAAACCTTTCGTCCCTTTGATAAAGCGTCCAGATCTATGATTCCAGTGTCGATATGGCCGTTTGCACCAGCTCGGGTCGGGATATACACGTTTCTAGTTATTTCGGTGTAAGGAGTGTTGTCTGCATAAGCGATWAGTTCTTTTATATTTTGCCCTCTCAATAGCCCATCTGTAGTTGCACAAGCATCCACACGCGTCCCAAGTTGTTTGTACTCCAGTATGTCACAGTAAACAGACGACACCTTTTGAATCTTGTACTGCGCCAAGAAGAAACCGGTCGCTATTTGCTTTGCATCCATAAGATCATSGGTTCCTTTGTTGATATCTCTTGAGAGACGTTTGGCAATATTTCCGCGGACGACTGCAGCAAGGCTGTCAACTAAATCAAACTGAAAATCATAAATTTGTGCTCTGAGGGTGAAATACTGGGCAAGAGTTCCTYCAAGTCTCTCGCAGATTAGCTTTCCTCCAGCAATTGACTTAGGTACAGATCCACCTATTCCGACGTCGCCATAAAGAATKTCGCAGATAGAATCTTTGAAAKCGGACCACAAAGCGTTGTTCTTTTCCAATTTTGAGAGGTCTGCCGCAGGGGTGTAGGCCCCGTAGTCGTTTAGAAATTCATCAGCGTCCGTTCCCGCGTCAGCACTCTGTTTATTCCTTATTTTTTTTACTAACTTATCCAATGAAGCAAGCTGCCTTGAGTTGACTGTGAATGCCTTGTTTAAATTTTGGGCRTCATCTGCTAATCCTTTTATAGCTAGAACTAATGCAGACCCCCTTACTGCATTTGAAACTGCATTCGCCACTGCGTCAGCGCGATCCAGAACATCAGTCAAATCTGGTCCGGTAAAGATCACTTTTAAGGGATTGCTGTTTAATGCCACGGAGGTCGCAAGTTTGACAATTGCGTCAGCCAGGTTTCCAGCAAGTACATATTGCATTAGATTTATGGCTTTTGTGATGTCGTCGATTAGTTTGCTTTGCACTGTTGTCAAGCYACTTTCAAACTTGTCTAAACTTGATGTGATRAATCCAACGTCAGCWTTCGCTATACCTTCATCGAAGYCAGCCAGACCCTCAAAGTATCTGGAAATTCCCTTTATTGAGGCCTTCAARTTWCTATCTAGCTGTTTGATTTCACCTATAAGTTTAGCAAAGTTGAGATCYTCTCTCTGAAGCTTTAWCATCTCAGCGTGGTTCACTTTGGAATACTGGCGAAGGTCTTTGACTCTGRTGTTGCCGTTTCTCCTCTSCTGTACTTTCTTTATCATGSTAAATTGCCTGAATATGTCGGCATATGGACAGGCCTTTTCGTACTTRACCAGGTTACACTGATAGGTGGAAATTTGGAAGTCATTCTTRTTCCCCTCGACAATCTGAAGAGCCACTTCTAGTTTTGAAAACGCTCTACGATTAAGTGCATCTGTGAATAAGTTTTGCCAGAACTGAAAAGTGTCGTAATACAGTTTGAGTGATGCAGTGAATCCAATAAGACGGTTGATATCTTCTATTAACCTCTCGTACGTTCCCTGAGAGTTACACTTCCCTGATTTGCAGTTTTTAGGGCATAAAACTTGATAAATCATTTCATTGATTTGGTACTTCAACATTCCTGTCATCATTGGTATAGCTTGTTGTATGTTGCATCGGAGGCCATGCCACGCCGACCCCAAAACTGTGCAGGCTTCCCACACGTTGTGTTCTACATATTTCATTKGGCTGCAATTTGCTTTCTKCTTTCGCTTTTCCTCTTTTTTCTTTTGTGGCAATGGTATCGTGTTTTTGCACTTRTTGGTATAGATTKTTTGTTTTCTTGTACACGTGTTKACGTTGGGGCAAATYTCRGTYACTGTTATGGYGTGTAGATCTGGCAGGGAATGCGGGTCTTTGTCTCTAGCTGTTTTGACAGATTGACATACGGATTCCATTCGAACTCCACCAGAATTAGTTATACTTCGACGGATGTGGCGGAATAAGAGCCATGCTCGGCGATTGTTATTGTACGCCARTGTGAAGCTTGCCAAYAAGATATCGAAGGCCTGGTATTCATCCTCRTTGGCCTTGGTGTAGGTCCTGAAGTCTTCGAGGCTCTGTCTCGAAGAYCCGTCCATGGATGAGACCTTTACTGCMTCRTAAAACTCTTTAGCTCGTTGTTTTAGATCTATAAGGATGTCAATAAACGCCTTGAAACGTGCTCTTTCACGGGATTTCGCGTCCTTTACTGCTTGGTCACCTTTCTTGTCTCTCAGATTGATAAACTTCAAGGCCCGCGAAACTATTTCATATGAAACAATTTTTTCCCTTTTCATGGCAAGCATGTGATCATGCATTTGTATCTTTGCCTTCAGAAGGTTCTTCACGGCCAGAGGAACGTYTGGGTTTTGGCTCTGGACTCCAATAAACATCATCATCAACAAAGCCATCAGCAACAACAAAGCCATGTTACTCCGGTTTCTCTCCATATTATTTCAGAGGCGCGTACGAGTATTTCCTAGGTGCACGAGGTAAAAAAACGAATTTTTAATTATTAATGAATGTTTTCTTTAGCGCGCTCCTGATACTACTATAGCACCGAGCATGAATCCAAGAAGCTTTCTCGTACATAACCATTCATGCAGTTTTTCTAATACTCTTGAACGTTGTAGATTCAACACTGTAAAGCTTGATTTTTGCCTTTTTCATTTATTTTGGGTAGATAAATGCATGGGGAAATCTACTAGTAAGAAATCAAAATTCAACTTCTATATGCCTTTTTCTAAAGACAATCATTTGAGAGGAAAGATAATGCTTTTAGAATAGAAATCGTGGTTTCAAACTGTAATTATAAGAACTATAAGTACTCGGGCAACTCATTTGTTTTTGGGAACAACGGCTAGTTTCCGCGAGCAACAGTTTTTTAAAAAGCTCATATAACCGAGATTCAACTTTATTGGTATAAAATCCGTGAAATGACAGATTATAACAGCTCAATTTTCTTCTTTTGTGTCTATCGGGGACTGGGGACTTTTGCACCTAGAYTATCGTCACGCCTTGCTTTCTGAAATCAATCTTGGGATGGCGAATTATTCGAGCTGGGAGACAGGGAGACTAATGTTTTCTCTGCGAGACCGAGACACCATTGAAGAACAAAACAAAAAAAAAAAAAGAAAAAACTCCTCCGACATTAAAATTTTCACAATTAAAATAAACTGCAATACTCTTAAAATTCGACTAAAATTTTGCGAGAAGCAGAATTTTTGAAAGACCGTTCGCCAACACCCAATTTGGCTAAGGCAGTTATGAAAAACAACGCAAACATCGATAAAAAATGTTGTCATTATAATGAAAATCTGCAGTCTTTTAGGTACATACCTTTCTGTGTTTCCTTTCGCTTTGAGGGTTATGAAATSCKTTCGTCCGATCAAAAATRACTTCACTGTGTGATAGGCTTTGATCTCATAACAAAAGGAGTCTTTATCATYCAATGACTACGTGTAGTGATGGTGCCTGCATTGTCATAATTAATAAGCGTAAAAAATCATATTTTTCTACCTGCATATGAACAAACTCTAAAAAGATTATCTTGCTAGATGAAAAAGGTTTGATTTACATATTTTATTAGTTCGAAACTCATGTTAATTGATAGAAATCCCTGTTAAATGGCAACCATCGCATGCATATATACAGATCTTTTCAAGAGGTTTTTAGATTGGAACGTAAAGATAGTGAATATGAGGACCGCATGGCACTATGGGAAACAACCTTCTAAGCACTATAACTTCCTTGCTATGGGTAATCTATTTAATTTTTAATGGGTAGCATTTTTTGATGTGATTAAAACGGCCAAAACAAAAAAGCCAATATTGAGGATCTTCATTTAATGGCAACGACGAATTCACCATATCTGTTTCGAATTCTCTTTTGTGAAAGTTCGGCTTCAATTACTGAGAATAAATTTTTATTGTCTTCTTTGTACACAGAGTTTTTGCATTATAATAGGATCTCTACTGAATAAAAGAATATATTACATGGTTTCGAGGTTAAGGCTTTACAAATAAGATCTGGAAACTGGAGTATTGACTGCATTTTATAATAATGATACCCATAATAGCTCGCGGTCGTGCATTCGCAGTCTCTCAGACAACATTTTTGAAAAAGTTATGTAGAGCAAATGCAGGAAAAACATGAAATAAAATCAAACTAAATACTAACTAAAAGCGCCTATTTAGGGACAAATTGTCAGTATCAACGAACCAGAACACAATGAAGATAAATCCACATGGGACCATTTTTCATTCATCTTTATTGCGTTCTGGTTCATTGATACTGACAATTTGTCTCTAAATAGCCGCTATTTGTTAGTATTTAGTT